ATTTATACTTTTTTCCTCAGCTCTGATATTCCCCTCTACACTCCTGTATTCTCCTCTTCTTGTTTATTCTCTTTCTGCTCTTGTCTGCTTTAACAGGATTTCCTTTCCCCCCCCTCCTTTACTCCACTTCCCCCGCATCATCTTCATCATCAGCACATGCGCTGAACTCCTTTTCAGGTAGGAGGCCGTATTCATTCAGAAATCCTTCCACATCTGTCGCAAAGAACTCCTCATTGAAGTTTTTGGTGATGGCCAAGAAATTTCCCAGTAATTCACCAGCCTTGTAAACCAGCAGAGTGGGAAGAACCTGGATACACAAACAAAAATATGCAAAGTGGGTTAACAGATTAAAATATTTATGGTTTATCATAGTTTGTTGGTCAGAGAATTGAAATTGTAAAGTGGGAATGGATGGATTATTTTCAATGTTTTCTACCAATAATAACATGCACAGTATGGCACACATTTTTATTCAGGTCACTTTTAACATGATACTCCCACATACAATCAGTTGTCTTCGGATTTATCTTAATAATCTCAAAATCATTGCAGAAAATGTTTCAGTCAACATACAGAAGCACTATATGTGGTAGAAAAACAAACACTACACATTACACTGAACACACCATCAGCAGGACAACAACACTAAAGATATAATAAAACTACAAATGAATGATTTACTTCAAATCATACTGATGCACTAGAATGGCCCAGTCAAAGCCCGGACCTTACTCCAGGTGATGAAATTGATGTTTACAGATGCTTTCTGTTCAATTTCAATGAGAGCAAGATGCTTTAGAAATAGAAACAGGTAGAATTTTCAATCTGTAGATGTGAAAGGTAGTAGAGATATGGCCCAAAAGATCTGAATATGAATATCTGTTTTGATTTTTATATGTAAAGCATGATTCCACTTTACAAATACGGCAAACAATCTTAGAAAATCCTGAATAAACTACATTGAAGTTTGTTGTAACTTGGACAAAATTGAAAAATGTCAAGGGGGACAGATTTGGACTCAGCATGAAACGGAGGTTTCAGCTAATGCAACTTTCCATTTGGATGTTACTTTAGCAATCTAAGCTATTCTTCTTGGTATTATTTGTTGTTGTTTTTTTTAATCAGTGCACTAACCTCAGCAGAAAAGCGTTCTGCAGCACCCGTTGCCACAGCGTCGATGCGACAGAACTTCACAGTGGGGTACTCGGAAGACAGACAGTCCAGACAGGAGTTCATCTGCTCACAGCCTGCCAAACGACACGCAACCGTGTGTGGTAGGATTTCATAGACGCTTATGCCGATAACGCAAACTGTGTTCTAATGAGCTTCGAGAAAGCGCTAACCTTTGACACCGTGCTGGTAGATGTGGACCACAACCGGGGTCAAACGATGCTCCTTCTCTATCACATCCAGGAAGGCTTCGCCACTCTCCAGCTCATGGACACATTCAAACTTCGGACCAAAGCTGAGGCGCTCGTGCATTTCCTGCATGCACTGCTTCCTGTAGCGCTTCAGGCAATGCTCGTCCTCCTCTTGGATCAGCTCGTACTCCTGCGCACTCATCTGAAGACGGAGACATATATCATTTCCAATGCAATACATTCGATGTGAGCGTTTGAGGCTTAGTGGAATACCTTTCTGTTCTGCCTCTCCTTGTCATCGTCTCGAGGATTAGACATCTGTCTCAGAAGCTCCCGCTTTTTTTGAGGGACAGTCTGATCCACACTGTCCAGTTTATATCTCCGCCAGTCGTTGATCACACCTTTTGGGCCTGGCGGCGTACAAACACACAGATCCACAAACATGATTTCAAACAGACAAGAAAAACCTAAAATATTTTAAGATATGCGGAGTTCAAATTGACGGAGTTATTTTTTTCATGCCTTGCTGAGCAGATCTTTAGTACTTATCTGACATTTCTCTGACCTGTGTGATTTGCAGGTAGCTCTTCTTCTTCTTGGAGAGACGACATCCTTCAAGTGGTCTGCAATAAACACAACAAATAATGTGGATAAAAAACCCGGTCCATACCACATGCTAACCGCTTCACAATGATTAAACACAAACACAAGCAACAAAGACTTTTTTTGTCAATATATCAATTATTGAAACAGATTTTTATTGTGTTTTCCCATCTTTGAATCCTTTCTTTTTTCTTAATTTATGTATAATCAGCATAATGTTCCACTTCAGCTGCGTAATTCATCGCTTACTTAGGCTTGCTTCAATCTGAAAAACAGAAACTTGATGATTAATCCTGTTATGAAATTGTGACATTTTCTATCTACCTTCAGTGCAAATTTAAAGCTTTTAATCAAATTTACACCAGTATGTATATGCAAATCAAGCAATAGCAAAGTAAAATAAGGTTGGGGTTAGTTGCCCTAACCCTACCCCTAACCCTATCATAAAGTAAAGCTAACAATCAACCTTGAAAATATACATTATTTCTTCTGTCAGAGTGGGCATGATGCACAAACCAATGCAATCAGACATCCTGTTGTCAGAAGCAGTTACCATGAACCAGGCTGAGGAATGCTTATCAGATTAGACTGAGATTACCAGTATGACATGCACACATTCTGAGGACATCTGCTTATTTATGCATGTGCGTATATGTGCTGTGACATGTGTTTGTATTTTCATACGAAGATCACTTTGTTGTGTTGCTGCGACCTCAAATGAATCCATTAGAAACCAGAAATATTTTTATTCAGTTAGATTGTCCTTGTTTTTGTGCCAGTTTGGGTTCATTTGAGAAGCACATTTGAAGCAGTGTGAATTCTTCCTGCTCACAAAATATTTGCTAATTTAAGAGACTGCATGATTTCTATGGCTCCTAAATGACTAAACGACACATTAAAATTCTTCCCTGCACATTTTCTTTATTTGTGAACATACCAAAGCATTATTCGAAAAAAAACAAAACAACAACTGACTGAATGATCAGTACTGATGTTGCACCAACTCAAAACTGAAACCCTTCACATGCACAAAAGAAGACACATAGAAAGATGCTGATTCGGCTGAGCTGTTGATGAGTCCTAATCTGCACCAGTCAGAAAACCTGTGAAGCCCATTAGTTTGAAGGATGTTGTCTATGCAACACAGCTTTTAAATGATTGGTACTATTTAACATTAAAGAATCAAATAACAAATTAATGATTTTTCTTTGAGAGCTTCTGTACAAAACAAAATATATGCATTTTATCAACTGAAAGAAGAAACATTTCTTCTATGCAAGAAATGACTGATGCACAACAGCTTAATAGCAACATAAATCCTGCAAACTTAACAAAACTTAACAATAGTGACTTTTTTTTTTTTTTTACTGAATATAACATTATGAATATAAACGATGCTAAACAAAACCTGCAGCACAATTTTAAAAACAGGAATATTTCTAATATGACTTACTTTTTATTATTGGTCTCAGTCTGTTGAGTCAGTTTCTTTTGTCCTCTCAGTCCAAGTATTTAATGGTCAGCCAACACGCAGGAGAGGATGGGGACAGAGATGAGTGACTAAGCTTTCTCCTCCCCGTCATCTTCATCATCCCTGTCACTTTAACGTACAGTCTAATATGATTAGGTATAATACAGGTGCAGTTTTATGGACTCATTATCTGACCCCAGTTAAAAAATAAAATACTAACATCTGGAAAACCAATGGCTATTGAGCATCTGTGATCATTGATAGTGGGTGTTGATGAGTTTTAGACCAATCTCCTTTGCAAAGTTGTTTTAATTTAGTCATTTAGTGGAAGGCTTCCACTAAATGTGTGGACTTTGACAAGGGTTTAGGGGACAAACTTCAGCTAAAGTCCTTAACAGACAAAATTGTGTCTTTTTCAAATAAAGATGTTTTATGCCAATCATTTTCAAGTCGATTGCCATAATGGGAAGTGATTTTTGTTTTTAAAAATGAACCTGTCAAAAATGTGGCTGCACCTAACTTTATACTGGTCTATCTGAGAGAAAACATTGGGCACTTTATGTGTGGTCCACATAGTGTGTAGGAAAACAATTAAGTAATAATAATCTTTAATATTTATAAGTAGTGAATTGTTGAAAAATGCCAAGTGTCTTGACAGACACACGGAAACTCGCGTCCACTGGGAAACACGAAAATGAAAACACTGCGTCCCTGGGTGGGCTCGAACCACCAACCTTTCGGTTAACAGCCGAACGCGCTAACCGATTGCGCCACAGAGACAGCTGCACACACGCTATTGATGATCCGAATTGAACAACAGAAACCAGACGGGGCGTTAACGGTTGTCTGTCTTTGTATATTTTCAGCAACTGCACTTGATTAGTAGACAACACTTTTAGCGTCACCGGATAACAGCGCCTTGCATATTCTGCACTACTGTCTTACCTGATATAGGCGCTTACTTAACAAGTGAAAAATTGTAATACATTAAACAATTCACAATTAACTAGCAAAAACCATGAAGAAATGCGGTGTCGCAGAAAAATTGGGGAAGCTTTATGTATCCGTAGTGTTAGCTTGTGTGCCTCACATGCTAACAAGCTGACGACATCACGCCAAAAACGCCACTACTTCTTCACTTCAAAGTAGATGAAAAAGTTATAAAGTATATGTGTGTTGAAAAGAAGACTTATGAACGTACAACTGACCGCATGTCGCAATTGGTCTGGTTGAATATAAGACATGGCACCCTCTCTGAGCGCATAGCAGAGTGGCGCAGCGGAAGCGTGCTGGGCCCATAACCCAGAGGTCGATGGATCGAAACCATCCTCTGCTATCACCTTTTTGTGTCTCTTTTACCATATCATCTAGTATTCTGCAATGGGAATAATAATAGAAATGCTGAAATTACAGGCACATACAGTATGTGTTTGTGAAGCTTGATGTATCATTTCTAAACATCGAAAACAATATGTCAATGACCAAAGTACACTTACAGTGTTTCTTTGTGAGATGAAAGTGTTTAATAGTTTCATTTATTTTACAAAGTCAAAAGTGGGCTAAAATAAATGTCATAGAAAAGATTTCGGTATATTTTTAAGATTATAAAATTAATTATAAAATCATATATATGCTCAAATTCTATGTATTTTTCTCAGTCTGTCCCATTGCCACATGCAATCTCTACATGTGAACTGCAATGGGTCTTAAAAGTAAAATTTTAAACATTTTTATAAAAAATACATTCTCCTCCAACCAAATAACAATCATAAGCTGAGTTGTGCAGCAGAAGCATAACAGACTGTGTCTTTGTGTAAGAAGACAGGCAAAACCAAAGGAAAGTTATCTATCTCACATGAGCGCTACAAACAGCAACATTTTCATAGCATCTTCGTATTCCATTGTTTCCTGTACAAAGCTAAATGGATAAAAATAAGTCATAAAAATCTTTACTGAGCTTTGCGTGTTCTATTAGCCACTGAGGACCGGTGGTGGGTCAAGTTATTGAGGACACAACTGTTGGTCAGAGCCGACAGTTTGCAGTTCAGAGTTTCTTTACTTTTTCCCCAGTAACAATCCCCTCCTTGATCCGTCTTTTCTTCTTTCGCCTTGTCCTCCTCCTCCAAGTCAGCCTCACTCTCTTCGTCACTGCGCTCATCTTTTTCAAGCTGTAGAAAGCAAATGCAAAGGGTTAACTCTGAATAACCAAAAATAAAAAAAATAAAAATCTGAAATGCTATCCTGAGTTCAGGAGCCACTGTGGGCTTCTCTCACCTTGCCTTTCAGGAACTTGTAGACCATGCGCAAGATCAGCACCGCCCAGAATATGTGAAGAGCTTGCAGCACCATTAGCAGGATGTTAAAAAAGTAGTAGCCAGCAAAAGGCTCAAAGACCTCCATGGACAGGAGCAGGGTGGTCCGAATGATTCTGGAAGAATTAAAGTTTCCATTACAAAGTATTGTAATGCAATTTAAAAACCATTCAGCACTTCTCTTCCACTTCACAATTATACATTACAAAGTGTTGGTCTGATATGTCCAGTTTAAATGAGTTGAGCCTTGTTATTGTAAGAATACAAAACATATAAAAGGGTTAAAAGGGAGATGAATACTATTTTGATACGCTGAAATCCTCACATTTTGCAGTACTATTAAAACAAATTATTACCTGCTGGGGAAAATCAGCAGTCGAGTCACAAGAAAGACCACAGCAAACACAACAAACAGAGAGTCACATGTCTTCCTCCAGCCGGTGCCGTAGTTGAACATCTTAGCCGACTGTAAAATGAGCAGTTTTTACTACGTTACAAACTTTATCAACCGCACACCTTCATGATAAGTTATCACTGAGGGTGAGGAGGACAAATAATGAGAGCCATATAAAAGAAAACAAAGATCTCAAATCAACAGAAGCTCTGCATGTTGTCAGCATGGAGTTTTTGTTAGTCATTCTATAAATCCTACACAGGTTAGATTTAAATTCTAATTTTGTTTCTTTTGCTAAAACCCTTTCCTTTGAACAAAAAACCGAAGGTCATCTTTCCTCCCTGTGTGATTTTTAAATATCAAAATCACAAGATTTTTATGCAACTTCCCTGCCGGCTACAACACAGATCTCACTGCAGATCTTTGTCTCAGAACAGCATAAAAGGCAGATCAATCCTTTGATTATGAGCTCGATTGAATTAGGTCGTCGGTTTATTCAAATTTGATTAGGGGGAGACAATTATTGTTTAATTTTGCAGTGCAATCACCTCCAACAATATGTCAGACGAGTCGTGAAGCAGCATGACCAAGGTGCCGATGCGGATGTAGTTGGCACAGTAGGAGAAGGCGAGCAGGAAGATGGTCGCCAAATGGTGGATCACCTGCTCCTTAAAGTCCTGCTCAAACCAACAAACAGACGAAGGGAGTCAGCATGGAGACACAGGAATAACCTTCAAACGTCGACAGAGGATTTCAGATTTTTTGGTCACTAATTACCAAGTGTGGATAGATGTGGAGATGAAGCGAGTGAAGCATGAATTGAAACCAGGCTGATCTACCACAAGACTTGTTAGCGGCTCTCTAAAGCAAAAATGCAACATTAATCAGTGAAGGGATGTTCATATCTTTACCTTCCTTTTGACGTCCACAGAGATCCGGAGGAGCAGAGAGCCATAAAATCCCAACTCCAGCATGTAGTACCAGAAATGAGCTTTCTCTAAGGGCTGTGACAGAGATGACAAGCACATAATAATAATTTAATACTTCAAAAAAGCTTACATTAAGGTGAAGTAAACTTTAAACTTCCCAAGTTGCCTTTTTAGATATTAAATATACGAGACATTTTATTATTATGAATAACATGAGGAATGTTATTCATGTTATTCATTATGAGATAGATATTCTAAGAAATCAGTTTTGTTTTAAGATCAGTCAGAATGTGGACACTGTTGTGTACTTTGATGAACAGATGTCAGTGTGACAAAAAAAAACAATTAACCAAAGGCCAGAAAAAATGTGAAGATTTGACAAACACAACAACACAAACTCAGCAAGCTGTCTGGAACAAAATACAGTCACGTAAAATGTTATAATCTGTTTTCACCTGAATAGGATAATGCCTCCAACATTCCCTGTGATCCCAGAACCAGGGTCTCTGTTCGCAGATGGACAAGAAAGACACAAGATCAAGTCAAAACAGGACGGCACACAAATTTCAGATTTCTGGTGCATCAATTTCAACTCACGTTCACTACGGAGGTCAGTCCAGCTACAAAGGCTGATAGGTAGAAGAAGAACCTCCATCTGCAAAAACAAAACTTTAGATTAGAAATTTTGATCAGGCCGATTTGTCTTGCATTAGATTCAATGCTCCAACAGAGGACGACCTGGAAGTGATTTAAGGATCGCCTTAAAAAAAAAAAAAAAAAAAAAAAGCACTCACGCAGCTTCAGCAAACTTCTTGGTTTGACTGGGTCGGTCTTGGTTCCGGCGAACTCTGAACCAGCTCTCGATCTGTCTCTGGGTTTTTCCACATGACACCATTAAACTGGCAAGATCAATCTGAAACGTGAGGTTTGAATTGTGAGTTATTTTCTGGCTTCATCCAAAGTGAGGAAGAGGCAGTCAGTGTAACTGCGGCACAGATTTGAATTTTCTAGGAACTGGGATCAGTCAGGTTGGTCTTATGCTTCTTCACTTCGCAAGATCCTATCAGCAACTACCAAGAAATGCTGAAGAGTGAAATAAACATCTGAGGAATCGAAGCCAAAGGCTTAAAACTGCAGCTGGACCACGTTTTAGTAGAGCGGCGGTTATGCAAAATTGACCTTTTTGAGCATTATAAGAACTGTGCCTAGACAAAAAGAAAAAAAAAACAATTAAAAATAAGTCATGATAGTTTAGAATGACAAAGGAATTTCATGAAATAATGTGATAATATTAATAATTTGCCTGAGCCTACTCTACATAAATTTGCTTTGCATAATATCAGATAAAACCAATCGGCTGCTATCAGGCCGACACAGTGGAGAGATGAATCAGTGACTGCCAAAATCTCTGGTAACAGAAAAAAGTCGCTTAATTTGTTGTTAGTCGCTGTTTTTTTTTTTTAAGTCACTGGATGTGTTTGAAAAGTCGCTGAATGTAGCAAAACTGAGGGAGTGTCATAACTTTTTAAAGAGACAGAGGTCAATTTGTCTGACATAGCTATACTACAAAGTAAAATTTCCTTCAAGTTGTGTTTGATATTTACAGCATTTTTATAACAGCTGAAGGCAACATAGATACTTCATTGTGATATAAAATAATACTACGGGTCTGAAAAATACAAAATACTCCCCCCAACTTTTCCCTCTTAAAGGTACATTCTCTTTTTCTATTAAGAACCTTAATTTTATTTGTGTGTATTTCCAAGCTGTGATGTACCAGCTTATCTTCAGCACCTCTACAGGCAACCCTGTGATCCAGCGCTTTGCAAAATCAGTGCTTTCGGAAGCTTCAGTGACTTTTCCCGTCAGACTTTGAGCTGCAGACTTTGGGTGGTGATGCAGGCAAAGCAGGGCGAGTTTGTAACAAATGTTTCCTGAGTTGAGTGTGCAAATTCTTGATGGACTTGATACTGAAGCTGCATGTCAGAGAGAAGTGCAGGAAGCAGTCATGCAGTCACTTTACCAACTGATGTTCACAGTGAACCATTTTGCCCAACTTGCAGGAGCCCTTTAAACTCACCTGCGTCGGCTGTTTGCTCCTGTGACAGTAATACGACTCCAGTTGCGGGGAGGGGGCGGCGCTCACTCGCACTCTATTCTTCACCCCCAGACATCTGGCGATGGGTGGGGCCAGAAACCTGTAGAACAAAGCAGGGGTTTATCAAGTGTTTTGGGGTCACGAGTGCAGGAAGTCTGGGCTAATAATACCGTAATTTATGGGACGGGGCTTCTCTGAAAATTCAGTTTTCTATTTTTTCTTAACAACCAATAGATTGAGCTGAACTGCCACCAAACAGATTTTTTTAAATTAGTTTTTATGACTTTGGAGATTCCTAATTAACATAATCATGACACAATATATCTCAAAATTGTTGTAAACTAGTGAGATGATGTTTTAATCATTTCTGTCCTAAATCAACAGAAATTATTTAGGACAAGACAATTAATCAAAGTGTCAATTTTCACCCTGCAGATTGCAGCACCAGGTTCTCAACCACTTTAACCACAAACAAATCCTGTTCTATGAAAAGACAAGTTTGAAATGAAGAGCATGGCCTACAGCCCTACTTAATCAACAACTAATCGTTCATAGTTTCTATGTATTCTCTAAAGATTTGTTTTCCGAATGACAACAAATCCTGCCCTGCTCTAATAGCGCACCTGCTCATATATTTCCACGCTGCACTGCTCACTTTACACGTTCCTTGCAGTGGAGATAAATAAATAAATAAATAAATCACATTACAACCACAAGCTTAAATGTACTTTTTTGTGATTTTATGTGACAAAATAAAACATCACATGGAACGTATAAGGAACTGGGTGGTTCTGAAATTCCTACTTTCTGCAACAGCGAGCTTGGAGGTGATGTACCTCTCAAACACGCAGCGAACTGCGACAAAGCCCAGAGCGAGGGGCAGAGCGATCAGAAGGTCCTTGGGACGGGGTCTCTCGGAGTCCGGCAGCCGCTCCAGGTCTCTCCAGGTCACACCGGGTGGAAGCCAATACTCCTGTTTCCACAAGTCCGGAAGCAAATCCATTTGTTTATTTTTCTTCTTGCAAGAGTCTATAGGAGAAAAATGCAATAAGCAGACATGACTTTTTCTTTTTTTTTTTTCCTGCAACATTTGTTATGGTAGAAAGCCCCAGAGGTCACCTTCACTCTATTTTCTAGGCATGATGCCACTGTTCTGGTCCAGTAACTAAACAGTAGAAGCTTGTGCACAATGTGGAGTATTTCCTGCATAGGGGATTTCTCATTACCTGGTCAACAAAAATGCCCGAACACAAATCAGCTCAAACCTTCCCAGCATACATTAAGTACTTATAAAGGACAAAAAAAGGTTTGAAAACATGACATTATAAAGAACAACAACAACAAAAAATACTAAATGAAGAAACTTTAAACATCTTAATTAAATGTCCAATCAGACTTATAATTAAAGAGCAGCGAGGCACTAGGAGGACATTCATATTCATTTTTTTTATTCCTATTATTTTATTTTTTTTTTACAATGAGAGGCACCGAGTTGGGTAAATCCGTTCAAAGAGACGGCCGGTCCGGACAGCAGAACCGTACCTGTGGACGCGGCGTCCGGATCCAACCTGCAGGCGGAAGCATCAAAAGCCGCTCGGACGGAGGTCGCGTCTGCAGAGGGATGCGCCTCGGTGCTGCTGTATCCCGACGAGTCGACGACAGCAGGAGGGCAGACAACATCTGTCAAGCCTGACACGATGAGAGGAAGTGGTGGGCTCAAATTTCAAAATAAAGGGCGGGTCTACTTAAAACGAGGTTAAACTGGGCAGTTCAAAAGGTCAGATTATGTGGTTTGTTGGTATATACCCACCTGTTGATCTTTGCTCCCAAATCTTAAAGTAAGTGGTTTCTTCTTCCTAATCAAGCACAAGTTGAAATCTTTTTTATTTTTCAGCTATTCAGGTTAACCAAACACATGAAAAATTTGATGTTTGCCTCCCTGACCATCTGATCAACCATATTAGACATTTAGTAACCTTTCTCAAAAACAACTAAACACCTCCCCCTTTTTTCAGTAACACTTTAGATGGACATCAAAAATGTTTTGTTTTGATTCGACTTAATGTGACTTTTTCACTATTAGTAGAAATAATAAGAACTTAAAACATGAATCAGCGTTTACAACATGAGGAAAAGTCATAAACCAAAAAAAAGAGGAAAATGTTAGTTTGATGGTGTATTTTTTATGCAGTGCATTAAACAGTATCTCAACAACAGAAAAGGTGTATTGCAGATGACAGTGACGGCAGAGCCCTCCTGCCTACTGCTCACACAGAAAGGCTGGCGACACTCATTGCATCAGTCCAGGACACTTTTCTGCTGCCTCAGAGTAAACACACCTCTGAGGTGTTCTGCTCCCGTCCCGTCTGCAAACGTTCACCAGAACCAACGCGGTGCCTTGCAGAAACATTAAGACACGTTTTGACTTTCTGACAATAATTGGGAAGCGGACAGGAAATGGTGCACAGTTTTTTAAAGCATTTTAAGAATAAAAGTCTGAATGAAGCACCATGCATAATCTGGCTTAGCCAACGACAGACTGCCTGGTTATCTTACAGGATATGAAGATGTCATCAGTACCTACATGCACATGAGCACATCTTTTCTGTGATGCAGAAAATAGTGAAGTACACACTTTGCTATGGCTTAAAAATAAATCTCCCAGAGGTAGAAATGTTATCTTTTAGCCAGGTGTGAATTAGAAAGGCCTGTATAAAGGGTGTCCCCCTGCTTTGTATTAAAAACAGAGAGCAGTATGATTTGCATGTTTCTGGGTGTGAGCTGAGCTAAGTCTGTGTTTTTGTTTGTCGCTCAGGTTGTAAGGGGAGATCTATTCAAATAGACCACACATTGTTAAAAGCTGCTCTTTTTAGGTGGGAGTTTTCCACTGTATCTGTCCATGAAGTGAGAAACACAGACACCTCCCTGCTCAGAGGTCAAGTATCAGACATATGGAAATAAGTCCTTCATATCAGCCCGGTTTCAACCGATCTAAGGTCATCCTTTGTTTTTTTTGTTGTTTTTTTTTTCTTTTTGTCTTTTTTTTGGGGTCCAGAACTGATTTGCTTATCCGGGTGCATTTATCTGCGGCCGTGCACCGTGTGAGTGAGGCTGAGGGGAACTGAATGCCTTTTTTGTTGCTTTGTCAGGGAAGTAACTCGTCAGGAACCAGTGAAGCAGAGCTGGTCTTGTTGAAGAGCGGACTAATGAGGCGTGGGGTTCCAGCCATCTGACAAACACAACTTGAAAAGAGCCGTTTTAGTCCCCATAACTAAGTCTGACTGCCGTCTTTGTTCTAAATCTGTGATGACATTTTAAATATTTAAATAAGTTTTTATATGTTGGGAGGAAACTGAATGAAAACCATGGTTTTGTCATTGATAGCAAATGTTTTTACTGAAGAAAAAAGTACATGAATTAATACAACATTCTTATTAGATGTGTATAATTAAGTTTCTGAATGTGATGCTACTCTTCATTTGTGTCATTACAGCAATGGCTGTCAGCTTGGAGTCACATAATCTTAATGACAGCCATATAAATTGATCAGGCTGCAGTATTTATGTCCCTAATACTTTGCATTATCTGCAAAGTTAATAGCTTTACAGATAATGCAACTGTGCAGACTTATTAAAGTCTCGTTGTACGGTTAATTTTGGAAGTTTCTTTGCAATATTTGAAATGTTGATTTCGAGAAACCTAACCAAAATGAAGACATGCCATTGGTTAGAAGCCCTTCAGACAGGACAAATGATTATTTAAATGTAACATTACTTTATGAGATCAAAGACATATTGATAGATAAACAAAATAATAATCATTTTTTGAGTGTTGACTTGTTTAAATAGACAAAATCTTTCATGACTTGCATTTGGCGTTTATGATAGAAATTCCCAGATTGAGGAAGCAAATTTCTCCTCTGATTCTAGTTCTCAAAGTGTCCAGTAGAGGTCAGTGTAGGCGGGGTTGACTCAAAAGCCCAGCAGAGAATGAAGAATCTGAGGGAAATTTCCAGGATAAGTAAATAATTTCGTCAAATTGAAAGTCTGATGGCTGTGTTTCTACATTAACTTTGTTTTTCTGGATTCTTTTGTGTTTTATGCCAGACACGACTGTGAAAAATTTAAATGAGCTTAAGTGTAAAAATAAAAAATGAAAAGACTGACAACAAAAATGGGTTGCCACTTTGAAGCATATTATTAACATGCATATGTTTTACAAGAGCTTACATACAAGTAATACAATCACAATATTAAGGTATATTACCAAACTTTCTTCCAGTCATTATCACTATGATTTAGGCATAAGAAAACTGAAAATATTACAAAACAGGTGAATACAGGAGTAGGAACTTTAAGGAAATCCCAGATCTTTCCAAAGGCACTGCTGGACAGATTTGGTTGGTGCAGTGAAGGGAGGTAAAACCGATTAGGGGGAAGGTGGCAGTGTACATGTATTTCATAATCATAACTTAATGCCGTTGGTTATCGGTCAGTGCTGTGACCCGGCACGCTGAGTCCCATAAGCCTCTTAAAAAAGCAAAACCCTCCGACAAAACCTTCTGCAAAATCAGTGTTATACTGACTTTTTTTCTTCATTTTTATCTCATGAAGTCAAAATTAATTTCATTTAAAAAAGCAACTATCAAACAAAGAACGAGAATAGTTTTATGAAACTGTAGATAGGAAACATTTAGATAATGAATAATTTTGTAAATCATTTCAGGCTGTGGCACGCAGGCCAAGCAAATTCCAGCAGGATTCACACTGAAGATACACTTTTATTAAAGATAAAAATGTAACCCCCGCCTAGGAATAAAAACTAGACTTTTTTTCATTTTTCTTTTTTACTTTACAACAGACCACATTTACAGTTTGAGACCTCCAGAGTTTCCATTACAGCGTATATTAGTTGGGTCTGAATATTTACCCCAAACTCATTTAACTTCACTTTTATTCAATCAGGATATCTAGTTATGACCCAGCCCTGGGATTTGTAAAAGCATTATAGAACCACAAACCACATGAAAAAGAACAGCCACAAATGATGTAATGTACAGATCCAGATGTTTCTTCCTCCGGTTCTGTTTGCCGCTGTAGCGTCTGAACTCCCCGCCGATAACAAAGGCGTTTCCTGCAGGTTCAGATGAATATATGGCTTCTGGAGTCGCTGTTTTTATATTGTCAAAGTGTCTTGCAAAAGTCTTTATACCCCTTTGCATTTTATTTAGATTATACGGTAGAACCACTCAAAGTAATGCGTCATTGTGAAGGGAAAAAAGAGGGATGGATTTCAGATTATTCCCAAATAAATATCAGAAGAGTGTGACGTGTGTTTGTATTTACCGCCTTTCCTGTCATTTCATGACTAAAACGCAGAGGAATCAATGGGACTCTGAAGACGCCTAAGCAGTAAACTGACCTGTGGAAATAGTAAACAGCCTTTACTTTTACAGCGTTTCATCAAGTCCAGAGGATCCCCTAAAGCACTTCACACTGCAATCATCCACCCATTCGAGAGGAAACTGGTCTGGTCACATAGACGGACACATCCAGGGCAATCCAACGCAACCAGAGCGACTCAGGAATGGTTTGAATCAAATCACTGAAGTCCAGTTGAGAAACTGTGGGAAAATGTGTTCAAGGGTGCTAATACTTTTGCAAGGCACTGACTCTTACAAAGAGGAACCCTGGAAACTCGCCCTTATACCAACCAATCGTCAGCTTTGACATCTCTTGCATTTTTTTGAAAACTCAAAACAGGATATGAGTCAAAAGTCTGCCTGTGCAGACCGACTTTAGATCCGTCCTTCCCTTGTTTCACAGTCACCCACTTCCTCTTTACACCATTGCATAATCGAACTGCCCTCTGTCCAGCCCCTTGTGATCAGTCCATGTGGATGCCGGCATACTGCTGTAAGGATCGAGTAAGATGCGGACGCAGCGTACCACTAGGAAAAGCAGCAGCAGAACCAGGAGGCCCACAAAGCACAGAGCCGAGCCCTGCTCAGGGTGCCCCACCGGGGGCTGCATGGCTGTCGGGCCTCTGGGGAACCCGGGCGGAGCCGGGGAGGAGAAGTCATAGTCCACGACCCAGTAGGGTGCGTCACTCATCCTGGGGGCTCTTCAAATCGCTTATCGTGGAACTGGAGTTGTGAAGTCAGAAGCTGGGAGGACTGGCATCGCCCTGCTTGCTCTTCTTTGTCTCTGGGTCAGATTTGTGACGTCACGGCGTTAAATCTGGAAGCTGCTGATTACACCGGAGTGTGGAGTTTCCCTTAAGCCCAAGGGGGCGAAGCAGAAACAACAGGGCACGGATCACTGGTGCAAATTAATAAGCTCTCAGGTAACCCGAGAAGCAGGCCGAGGCACGCTCAGAGAGGTTTAATCACGACTAATTGGCTGGTGCTTCTTTATAAAGCTTCTCCCGCACATAATCACTCAGTATAGAACTAAATATCAATACTTGATTTTGCCGCTGGAAGCTTAACAAAGCCAGTTTATTAAACCTTATCCAAGAAAAGCCCTAAAAACACCTTTACTTAGATTACAAAGTGAATCATAAATCTCAGATGTATAAATCACAGGACTTCTAGTGTGTTTGGTTGCATTAGAATTAGTTCAATGTTTCGTTCATTATTCACCGAGT